TTCTATCTGATGTGGGCTGGCTCTATAGGGACCAACAATGAACTGAGGACACACAATTCAAATCTTAAGGCTGTTTTCTCCCATGGATGTAGGATACACTCCCTTACTAGTTAAAGTATATCTAGGTAAAGAACAGTTAGAAAAAAAATCCAAAAGAGAGAACGTATCCCTGTTGTGAAAAAAAAAGAATTAACATAGTAGTCCTGACATGGCTTTCTACAGTCTGCTTACCAGGTTGACCCTAAGCTAGTCTCTGGAAACTTGGACTTTTGGAGAATTTGCCCACAATATTTGGAAGAGTAAATAGATTTTATTATTTTAATCAAGAAAAAAAAGAGTAACACATTCTATTTTGAATGTGTACTTAAGATTTTAACTCCTTTATCTGATTTTATTTCCCCTTCCTTTAGTGGCTGAGACAGGATCAACTTCTAAGGGCCCTCAAAATAGCCAGACAGTCAGATGGAGAAGCAAATCCATCAGTCATTGTCAAGTAGGCACTAGTCTCTTTATTTCAAAGGGCCAGCACTGTTGTTTAAACATTATCTAATCTATTTGCATCTTACAAAATTTAACTTTTACAAAAAGCAAGAAGGCAATTGCTATGGACTGAATATTGCATATTGGCAGATAGATGTCATTAAGATTTACTTCCTTCTATCTCCTGTTCAATTGCTCTGTGAAAGGCAGTGGGTTTCTCTAGTCTTCTTCAATTTAGATTGATGGAATTTCTGAATCTCAGCAATATCTTGTCATATATTTTGGCAGATCAGATAGTAATGAGGTACACAAAAGAAAGTCAGATTTCCACAGTGGTTACTCTATCCTAATTTCTGACACTTCCATCTCCCATTGCAGCCTCATCTGATATTGCACTAACCTTATTCTGCTTATACCCTGATTAATTCCTCCTACCCCTCCTTAACTGCACCTATCCTCAAGATTTAGCCTTCTGCAATTCTACTGCTATGAGACTCTGTAGCTCATTTTCTATCACTGAACTTATACTGCTATTTCTCCAGCTTTCAACTTTACTCAAGGTCTTTATGACAATTTATTTGTATTTGGAGGTACAGCCTTTAATGAAATGTGTCCAATACCTAATTTACCACCTTCTCCTGAAAGCAGAAATTTTTCATTTTCTTCTTCTAATACATACATAAATATTTTAATAATTAATAATTTGAAATAATTGTGTCTCCACTATCAATGTACCCTTTATAATCAGTTATCATGAAGCCATATAGTTTATTAGCTATCTCTTATTTACCACTCCCTTCACTAATGCTCTAGCATAGATTGAGAGCACAAGAGCCCAGTTTTACAATACAACCTTTCAATTCAGAGTCTCTCAAAGTATGGTCCAGCCACCGTTGCAGCTGAATCATTTCAGAAGCTTGTTAAAATATATATGCTCAGACACCATATGAACCCTAACCTGCAGAAATATAAATTATCTCTCTACCCCCATTCAAATTATTCTGCAACTGTCTACATATGCTTTACATTGGAACATACCTCTGTTTAAGGACTTCCACTTTGTATATCATATATTCGCATGCATTTGAGAATACAAAATTAAACTTAGGGATCAGAACTCCCTCACATTTTAGAAAAGGAAATTAAGATCCAGAGATATTTTCAAGCCATGCAGAAAAGAGTTAATATTGAAAGCCCGGCTGCTATCTTTTGAACGCACTGCTTGTAAGATGCCTCTGGATGATGTCTAGGAACTTTGATTTAGACCACATTTCCACCATTCCCCGGCCTGATAAGAGTTGCTTGATGTGCCTAAAATGTTTTTACAAACAATATGGTTTAAAGTTAACACCTGCTGCCCTAAGCTGGTGGATAGAGTATTGGCCTGTGGACTAAAGGGTCCCAGGTTCAATTCCAGTCAGGAATGCCCAGGTTGCAAGAGGCAACCAATGATTTTTTCAAATATGTTCTCTCTCTCTCTCTCTCTCTCTCTCTCTCTCTCTCTCTCTCTCTCTCTCTCTCTCTCTCACACACACACACACACACACACACACACACACACACACACACACACTTTTTCTCTGAAATCAGTAGAAATATTTTTTAAATAAAATAAATAAACACCTGCTTTTCTCCTGTGAGTCTGGGATTTGGGTAAATGTCAAATGATGCTATGTGACCATCCCCCAGTAAAACCCCCAAGGAGCCGAAGCCGGTTTGGCTCAGTGGTAGAGCGTCGGTCTGCGGACTGAAAGGTCCCAGGTTCGATTCCGGTCCAGGGCATGTACATTGGTTGCGGGCACATCCCTGGTAGGAGGTGTGCAGGAGGCAGCTGGTCGATGTTTCTCTCTCATCGACGTTTCTAGCTCTCTATCCCTCTCTCTTCCTCTCTGTAAAAAATCAATAAAATATATTTAAAAAAATAAAATAAAAAAAATAAAACCCCCAAGGAGATTCCCTGGTTGGCAACATTTCACATGTGTTGTGACAACTCATTGCTAAGGGAATTAAGTACATCCTGAGTGAATCCACTGGGAGGGGATTCTTGGAAGCTTGTGCCTGGTTTCCCTTGAACTTTGCTACATGTTCCTTTTCCCTTTGCTGCTTATGATTGATATACTTTCACTGTAATAAATCATAGCCATGAGTATGACCATATTTTGAGTGCTATGAATACTACCAGTGAATCATCAAACATGGTGGTGGTCTTGGGGAGCTCATGACACAGAAGCCAATGAGTTTCATAACATATTTCACTGACCCTCTCATGGGACGTTTAGAAGAGCCAATACTCAAAACAGCATAGCCTTAAAAACACCACATGCTTTAACTGCTGACTTAGCTGCTAAGTCTGAATCATGGTTTCATTGTGTATAAAATTGGGCCAATAATTACTTTGTAAAGTTTTTACAAAGATTTAGAAATAACAGTACAAAAGGTCTATAGTATATACCCTTTGAGGAGGAGTGATTATTTGCATTCAAAGTCTTTTGGATAAGATGGAATAATAAGAAGGAATCCTATGGTTCAAATTTTACGTATCCATATATAGATGTAGCAATGGAACTAATTACATATGTGTACTAAAAGGTCCCAAACATGCCCTGGCTGGTTTGGCTCAGTGGATAGAGCGTTGGCCTGTGGGCTGAAAGGTCCCAGGTTTGATTCTGGTTAAGGGCATATACTTTGGTTGCAGGCACATCCCCAGTAGGAGGTGTGCAGGAGGCAGCTGATCAATGTTTCTCTCTCATTGATGTTTCTCTCTCTCCTCTCCCTTCCTCTCTGTAAAAAATCAGTAATATATATTTTTTTTAAATAAAAATAAATAAAAGGTCCCAAACATGTTGGAACTTGTAAACAGATTGTTTTTTTTCAGGATCTGTGTAGAGTATCTCTGACTAAAAACTTGTGATGGGAATTGTGTACAGAGCACGTGCACGCGCACATACACACACAAAACAAACAAGCAAACAAAAACATGTTTATATTCATCTTTCAACCCATGCTTGGCTACTTATCTCTTGTTTTAGGGGTCCTGCCCACTCCACTGATTTCTGGGCCTTGGCCTCTTTCTGACTGACAATCTGCACTCCTTAACTATTTATTGGATTCTCAGCTGTACCCTTTTCAAACCACTAGTTCACACATGACTGATTTACCATCATTCACTTGGTCCTATATGAAAGATCCCCACTGAAACTCTATCTTGGCTGTGACCCTGGCTTCATCTCTTGACCAGCTTGTTATATTTGCTCTTGAATAAAGTATACTTCACTTTTGTGAAGGGAGAATTATTGGGCAAATATAATCCCAGTCAGTGGCAGCATATTAGGAAGAAAATTTCATTTGTGTTTATTTATTCTTTTTGTTCAACTCTTCTTAATACTAACATTGTCTCGTCTGAAATAATGTAACAAAAAGATTTAAAGTTGAGTTATTTCAAATCTCTTCAGCTACTATAAAAAGGAGTCAGTGTCTGCAAGGAGTTGTTTTATGGCACATTGTTTTCAGAAAAATACAACAAAATATTAATCTTCCATATCAAGTTTAAAATATCTAAACAAAGACATTTGCTCTGTATTTCTCAACCAGACATGATATAATGGTGAGAGTATTGAATGGGGAATCAGTGGCTCTATGTTTCAATCTTCAGTATAGTTGTTATAAGCCTTTTCTCACCTCTATTTTTTTAAATTTCTTTATTGATTAAGGTGTTACATGTGTGTCCTTATCCCCCATTACTCTCCTAACTCCCCCACTCATGCCCCACCCCCCTGTTATCTATGTCCATTGGTTAGGCTTATGTGCATGCATACAAGTCCTTTGGTTGATCTTTCCTCCTTACTCCCACCCTCCCCAGCCTTCCCTCTATTTTTATCTGAGTAGGGGTAAGCTGTTAGAAATTGTCAATAGTATATGAGTATAAGTGATTGTGCCACTTCCCTGCTAAGGTGGCTTTGAAGCAAGTATCTGGTCTCCATGCTTTCTTCCCCTAGCTCCTGGCTGGATGTTGACATCCAGGGTGACCTTAGAGGCCACATGTTGATGATTGTAGAGCCACTCTCATCCAGAGTCTCTCAATAGCTATATAAATAATTTCCCTTTCCTCTTACCAATCAGGAACATCCACATTCTGTTAAGTCATTAAGATTTTGAGATTTTGTATTTATAGTAGTTAGTATGCGCCTAATTAAGTTGTTTCACCTCTTTTTGTGAATCTCTTTGGGTTGTTATAAGGATTAAATGAGTTAGAACAATGCTGACATATAACAAATGCTCAATAAATATAAGCTATTAATATTATTATGTGCTTTAATTCTAACTAGTTATGAGTCATTGAATGGACCTTGATTTTTTCAATTGTAAAATGTAAGGGCCATGATTGGTGATTCCTAATTTTCCCTAAATTTGAAATTCTATAATCAGTACAGAGGACACTGATTATAGAAAAAAGCATATTTCTTTATGAAATGTATCCATTAATTTTAAAATAATCTTTGAAGATAAGAAGATTTACAAACCGGGCTGTGTCCGTGAGACTTTCATTCACACCCAAGTGAATGTCTTGTGTGGTAAGAAAACAAGGATGTCCTCCCAAAAGTGCAAAGCCTACAATAAAAGAAAGAGAAAAATGCATTTTGAAAAATAGTAAAGTGGGAAACACAAATATTAACTCAAACGCCATCTCAATTGAAAAGTCAAAATCTTTAAAGCTCTCCAACCTCTCTGGTAGGAAATTTCCAAGCAAATCAAAATAAGGAATCTAGGGAAATTTTGGTATAAGCACTGACCTCTCCTTAGGATGTGTTCCTGTTTCTCTATCCTCTTGTGCAAAACCTGGCAGATCAGATATGCTATGTCCCAGGTAGAATCAGAGAACATAAAGCAAACTAATAATTCTACTTGCTAGGGATCCTATAATAAGAGTCTAACTCCATTTGTGATGTTTTACTGCTACCACCTTTCAGGCCCATCATCACTTTCCATTGGAGGGTGGGAACAAAGGGGTTACATAATTGGACTTTAAGTTGCAAAAATTTGGGTACGAGTTAATAGATTGGACCAGGCAGGTAGTGGGTGAAATGATGATAAAGTAATTGAGTTCTTGATATATTTTGAAAGTAGAGCCAGCAATAATAGAATTTCCAGATTCCCCCACCACCCCATTTCCACACCTGCTAGCATCTGTACCCACATATTCTGTTTTCCTTCAGAAAACATACATGTATGCACTAGAAGCCATACCCCTTGCCTACTCAAGCATCTTGCTCTTCCATTTCTCCCTTACATTACTACATCTCATTTTCTCACTCATTAATTTAAAAAATGCAAATGTTATCTTATCCTTATTTCCTCTACTAGATATCTCTTTCTTTGCTCCTTTTGCACCAAAACTCTTTCTTTTTTCGTTCTTTCTTCAGTTCTTCTTTTCTGATTTTCTTCAAACTTATTCCCATAATGCTTTAGTCTCCCAACACTGTAGCAAAGCCTCTCTCACCAAAGTCACCAATTATCTTCACATTGCTACATCTAGTGGCCATTTCTCTCTTGCCATAGCAGCATTTAACAAAATTGTTCACCACCCTATCCTTGATAAAATTTCTTGCCACACTGTCTGAGATACCACATCATCTTCCTTTTATATCTACTTGGTCATTGGTCCTTCTCAGTCTCCATTGCTGTTTCTTTTTCTTTTCCTTGACCTCTTCCTTATACAACAACTTTAGAGTCAACCTTAATGTCTCTCTCTTACCAAATACATCAGGAATCTTGTTGGCTCTCCCTTCAATACATACCCAGAATCTACTCCTTCCATTGTTTTACCCACCCTGCCCCAACTTCTATGTACTATAGTTACATATTAACATGATTCACTGTTTCTATCTTGCCTCCATCCCCACCCCAATATTGTATTCTCAATAGAGTTTCTTTTAAAATGCATGTTGGATCATGTCCCTCCTTCATTCAAAACCATCCAAAGTTTTCCCATTTTACTCAGAGTAAAGCCAAAATCCAAATAATGAAATAAATGTTTTCCCCCAAGTTCCAGGCACATTTTTCTCCTTTCTGACAGCATTTATCACCTTCCACTGATATTGTATTAGCATTCACTTATTGTCTATAATTTATTGTCTGTGTACCCACATGGAGGCAAGGGTTTTTTCTTTATTTATTTTTCTGATGTATCACTCTCAAGAATCTAGAATAAATAGTGGTACAGAGTAATTGCTCAAAAATACTTGTTGAATGAATGTAGGAGGAATTTTGACTCTGGAAAGAGAACCCATTCTTTTCACTTGCAAACATCTAATTTTGTTAACTGAAAGAACAGAATGTTATATCATGTGTGAAGTGAGGTAATGGAATGTAGGCAAATAAATAAATATGAATACTGCAAATTCATCTAGAAAGTATTTATTGTGTTTCTACTATATACCTAGCATGGAGATTATTATAATTCAAGATTGAGGATTATGGAGGAACATTTCACACAGAGTTTAAGACCTCAGGGCAGGACTGCACCAAGTCACACTCTTATTTTGACTAGCAGTCATTTTGCTGTAATAACCCAGAATTAGTTCATTTTCATTTTCCTCTGAGATAGGTGGAGGAAGAGGGATTATAGAAAGTGTTAAGAAGTAGGAGTCAAAGTCTTCAGCAGTTCTTAAAGAAGATAAAATGGAGAACATTGTCTCTGAGAAGGAATTGCTGAGGAGGGCAGAGTCACCCTACATCAAATATTTTTGAATAAAGTGTTTCTTCTGTTAATATCTTAATTTATGTCTGGGAATATAATAGTAGCTGTTATTTTGCTCAAAAGAATTCATGGCCCTAGCAGGTTTGGCTCAGTGTATAGAATGTCAGCCTGCAGATTGAAGGATCCCAGGTTTAATTCTGATCAAGGTCACATACTGGGTTGTGGGGTTAGTCCGTTGTGCAGGTGGCAGCCTATCAATGATTCTCTCTCATCATTGATGTTTCAAGCTCTCCCTTCCTCTCTGAAATCAAATATATATATACTAGTAGCCCACTGTAGGAAGATTCCTGCAATAGGGCTTCCTGCTGCGCTCTCCCAAGCCCCGCCTGCTTCCCTTTCTTCTCCCCTGTCCTGCTTAGTTGCTTCTCCACAGTTTAGCTCCCTTCTGCAGGGCTTGGCTTCTTTCTATGCTGTCTTGATATTCAAATTAACTACCATCTTGGTTGGGTTAATTTGCATTCTTGCCCTGATTGGTTGGTGGGCATGGCTTGGGCATAGTGAAGGTGTGGCAAATTTGCATATTACTTTTTTATTAGGTAGGATATATATAAAAAAAATTCATGCACTAGTAATCTGTGGGCTCTGAAGGCTCTTTATGGTAGAACTAAGGCAGTCATTAACTTCTCTCTGTTCTTCACTTTCCTACCTGCAGAATAGTATCATGATTTTTATTTTTTTTTTAATATATTTTATTGATTTTCCACAGAGAGGAAGGGAGAGAGATAGAGAGTTAGAAACATCGATGAGAGAGAGTCATCGATCAGCTGCCTCTTGCACACCCCCTACTGGGGATATGCCCGCAACCAAGGTACATGCCCTTGACCGGAATCGAACCCGGGACCCGTCAGTCCCCAAGCCGACGCTCTATCCACTGAGCCAAACCGGTCTCGGCAGTATCATGATTTTTATATTACCACCTTTATAAAGGTGATGAATTTGGAACAGCTTAGAAAACACCGTTTATTTTTCACCTTGAAAGTCAAATACCAATGTTAAATAATGAAAAGAGTTATCTCTTAGAATGTTCTGTGATTTTTCTATCAGCTACTGCACTTAAGATTAATAAATGTATCTATCTGCTCAATTAACTTGCAATAAAATAATATATTCATAAGTAAACACATAGGAGAATTCACAGTCTTCCAGGCAGGGATACACAAAGAGTGAGGAATAAATGATCTACAAGTACACACAATGACATTGATTTATCTCACTAACATAAATTTACATAACATGGCTATATAAATCTGAGCAAAATAAGCCAGATACAAAAGAACATATGCTAAATTATTCCATTTATATAATGTTCCCAAACAGGCAAAACTGGTAGAAAACATCTGCAATGTTCAAAGCCAGGATAATGGTAACCATAGGATGGGGGAAGTAGTAACTAAAAGGAGATACAAGCAGGGCTTCTGATTGCTATTAATGTCCTGTTTATATATCTGGGTATTAGTGACAAGGATGTGTTCACTGTAAGAATTAATTGAACTATATGCTTGATGATTTGTTTACTTTCTATAGGTGTGTTACACTTTAATAAAAAAGTATTATATGCATTGCTCAGTCGCTGAGCATCAGCCTATGAACCAGGAGGTCTCAGTTCAATTCCTTGCCAGGGCACTTAGCTTCATCCCTAGTAGGGGGTGTGCAGGGGGCAGACAATTGATGATTCTCATTATTGATGTTTCTATCTCTCTCCCTATCTTGTCCTCTCTGAAATAAAAAAGTATATTTTAAAATATTACATGAGCAATTAATATTGCTTAGGTTGAGTGGAAAATGTTATTCTGTCCCCTGGAACAAGTAGAAATACTTCTACATCTCTGCTACTCAAGCTTGTGATGGAATTCTTAAGGATTGTCCTGTGAGGATCACCTCATCCCAGAGACTGGCATAAATTCAGGGTAGCAACAGGCAGTGTTAATTACATCTTATTTTCATTTTAAGTACCAAGGTAAAAGGTTTTGATGAAAAATTGTGCCAACTATTATTATACACATATACATAATAGAAAAGCTCTACCATGTTCTTGGCTGAGATTTACCATTTCTGTAAGCATTTAAAGCAGCTCCTTACTCTGACTGATTCTTCTACTGTTGAGCTTGGCAAAATGCCATGTGAAATTAGAACCAAGGGTATTTATTAAGGATAATGATGAATACTCTGTGAACCATTACTTTTTTATGGTCTTATGTTCCTTTTCTCATGTATTTGTTGCAACAGTTTATGATTTTGTGCAAGTTTCAGAGCTCTTCTTTATAGAAAGCCTCCATTTAACAAAATGCTTAATGCCACCTCTAGAAATGATTTTACTGGAATAATACATGACTATCATATGTCTTAATTAAATTATATGCTTACAAAATAAATTTAATAATAGCTTCCAATCTTTGGTCTGCTACTTATTAGCTATGTGACTGTGGACTATTTGTTGGACCTGTTTCAGCCTATGGTCTCACCCCTATGGAGTTGTCATGAAGATTAAGTGAGATAATCCATATAATTAATGTAGAGTACTTGATACAGAGTCTGCACCCAAAACCTTATTAAATGCTCACTCAGTTTTATTAATAGCTTAACAATCACATCATTATGTGTGATTAATAAAAATTATCTCTTATTCAGGGATATTTGATATTAAAAATAACATTTGAACAGAGAAAATGGCAGAAAACATCAACAACTAAGAATTAGCTTTAAAAACTTAAAATTGAGAAACTTCTATGTATTATTTTTATAATTTCAAAAAAGAACACTCTTGTACCAATGATAAAAAATGATAAAATAAAATTCTGTCTAACTCATGGAAGACTAGTGTTGAAAGGTAGCAGAATTTGAGAATTCCTAACTGGAGCCAACTTTAAAGAGCAAAATATTTTCATCTGTTTTCTTTCTATGACTTTAAAGATTAAGTGGTGCCTCATATGTTTCCCCTCCTCCTCCTTCCTTCTTTCGAGAGATAATTCAAGTGCATTAATAAGAACAGTGAACTCGGCATCTGAATCCTGTTGTGATTTGTATTAATTGAGTGAACTTAGGAAGTCACTTAATCCTTCTGAACTTTATTTTGTTATGTATTTGATAACTTCATTATTGACCATTACAAGGCAGGAGTGGCATGAAGTAGATGTTTGCTTCTAAGTTCTAGAAAGGTCTGATGCTTGTAAGTGAGATAAGGTATTTGAAGAATCAACCAATGCGTTTTTGTGATACCTCCTCCCTGATCCTATCATTTGCCCATTTGGGGAGTCATATTATTGATTCAAGGGAAGGCTGATATAACAGAATGCAGAGAGAAAGAAAAGAGCTAATGTGATTTTTTTGAAACTTAGACCAGAGATAATCATTTGAGAAGAAATAACTTTTTTGACAGCCTAGGATTCCAGGTACAAACAATAGATTTGAAATAATACATGAAAAATCAGAGGGAGTTGTTTTTCCTACTTTATCACTGGGCCCTCAATATTTGGAACTGGAAGGGAAACAAGAGGAGTGAGAGAGAAGCAACAGAATTAGAGATTTATGGGTATTTGAAACTATGAACTCCTGTCTATCCTCCAGGCCAAGTACTTCAGGTTGGAGTGTGATGGACATTTCAGAAGAGTTTGGGGAACCCCAGAGCAGAGACACCTGTGTCATGCTTTCAAGACAGAGCTCTAGGAGGCAACAAATGTTATGGAACTCCCTGGCACCCAGCATGAGGAAGGAACAATAGAGTAGAGATAGCCTTGCAGTATCTCTGTGTCCAGTATAGCATAGAGAGCTGCCAAGAGGTTAAGAGAGCCAAACTAAGATATATTTCAGGTCTGTGATTAGAGTGAAGCAAACTGCACAGTGAATGAGACAGTCAAGGTCCAATGTGAATACACAGGACTTTAGCATGGGTCTTTGATGATAATGTCTTGATATCCAACAACCAGATATCCATAATCCTAAATGCCTTGACATTCTCATACTCTCTAGGACTTAACCAAGGCTGTAATATAAGGTATAGGAGACACTAAATTGACAAAACAAACCCTGAAATGCCTGAGGATTGTGTAATGTTGCAGACATTAGTTTTCCACCATCTAGCAAAATTGACACAAATAAGAAAAAGTTCTTTATATATTATAAAAATACATATACCTTGACCACATGAGTTTGAAGAATGAGAATTTATGTCCACTTATATTTTGTACTTAATACAAAGTGCTTCTATTTGGGACTTCTACTCAAATACTCATTGAATTCTTATAGATGAAACCAATCTTTCTGCATAAAGATTCTATGATAATTGGAAAGGGCATTTAGAGGCTTGCACTGATACTCCCAGAGATAGTATTTCCCCTTTATGGTTGCCAAAGAGAAAAACAGATCTCTCTCCCTACCCTGAGCTACTCCTTCCTCCCAGGTCCTCACTCTCTGCCCCCTTCTTCAACAGAAGGGTGAGTTTGTTGATGGACTCACCTGTTTCTGTGGACAATCTTGTTCGAGTACTTCTTTTTTCAAAAATCATGCCTAAAGACTTCCCTTGTAATAAAGGCAAATACTGAAAATAAAGGACAAGAATATAATTAAGATAAAAAATATATTTATATCTAATATCAAGGATTATATTTCAAAACTTATTCTTTACATTGTCAAAAACATAGAACAATTAATCACTACTTCCAAATAAGTATTCAAAATGTTATTTAAAAAAAATTTTTTTTGCTTATTCTATACAAATGGGTGAAGGGAATAGGAACTTTCAAAGATTATTGACATTATTAGAAAACATTATTACTTGTTTTAGATTCAATCTGAACACTTGTTTCAAAGTATATTAGTATTTCATTTTGGTGTCATCTTCTTACTTAAATCCATGGAAATCCCCATCAGTGTTCAATGACCTTGAAGATGCTTGGTTTGGAAATGTTTTCTCAGCTAGGAACATATTACCCTGTTATACATGGAGCAGTAAAACTCCTAAAGGTGAAGCCTCAGACTGTCTGCTACAGTCATTATGCATCCTTGTGAGAGTGCAAGGACTTTGTTTCTGAAAGTCCTGTGGAAACAATTTGGAGAGTTTGGTGTGGGATGGGGCTCTTCCTCCTTCCTCTTCTATAGATGGACTTTCCCGATAGGATGAGCTCTGGAACAAATAGATTCCTGCCAGCTAAACATCCTCACAAACAATGTAAAGAACAAAGGCTTAGGATTAGGGGGAGGGGGATGTTTCTCCTTATTTCAGATCTTCCATAGGAATAGCATCCCATAACAGTTGGAGTCACACTGTTTTCAGTTTGTTTTTAAGGATTTGCAGAGCTAGTGAACTAGATAAGAAAATCAGGGTTGTGTAAAACTTTTTCAACCTGAAACCAGCTCTTTATAAAAGCTTTTATCCAAATTTGGAATACAAAAATGCTTCCACAATTAAGCAGTCTAAATGAAGCTACTGCATTAATTAAGCCTGTGCAAACATAAATTGCTCAACATGCAGAATAACGATTACAGCTAAGCACCATATTTCATTCCCCCCCTACTTGGTTAACATTTGTTTTTTTGCCAATCTAAAATTTTAAAACACTGTCACATCAACTGTAAATTTTTGACATCCTAACAATCATATATCTGATATGCATTCGCAATTGAAATTTTTGGCTAGAAAAATGATATATCATCCTTATTTTTAACTTGATAGAAAACATAAAGAAAAGAAAGGAGGCACAAAAACAAATTCTTTCTGAAGAATGATTCTTTAGGTTGTGATCCAGTTAATAATGGATTTCAAGATTCCACATGAAAGAAGTGCAATGGCTTGTCATAGAATAACTGATTTTTATGCCTTTTATGCGTTTGTACACTCAGTAATCAATTACCTTGACTGTGTGGTTCCATTACTTGCTACTGTTTAGGAATTTTAATGTGTTTTCTTTTCCCTCTTTCTTTGTAAGGCTGTCTTTACAAAATCTGATTGGTAACAATGCAAGGTAAGATAAAAATGCTACATACTTCTCCTTTCTGTTTTATCCTGAATTTCAGATCCGCTGATAGCCATAGCATATACTTAATTTCTTCTCCAGTGAAGTTCTTTAGAGTGAGAAGGTCACGACCCTTCAGCTGTACTTTATTTTGTAATGGTTGTCCAGATCTACAAAAGAAAAGAAATATATATATGAAAAAATAACCTGTCCTGTAGTGACTTATTGTTTTATTCTTGAAACAAAATAGTAAATCACATGTAACCTCATGTGTCTCTGCAAAGTGCTAATGCATTGATATTGATATGGCTGTGGTTGGCATTTTAGATACTCTGTATTTTTATTGTTGAGAGAAAAGAATTTGAAGAAAGAAATTGAATTGTGTTTTGGCATTGATAAAGCTATTTCTTTGTAGTTTTTTTTAAATTTATCTTTATTGTTGAAAGTATTATAGATGTCCCTTCCCCACCACCACCACCACCACCATTAATTCCTTCTAGATCTCACCCCCCTCAGGCCTTCACCACAGTATTTGTGTCCATGGCTTATGCATACAAGTTCTTTGGTTAATTGCTCCCCATCCACCCCCTACCTCCACTTTCCCACTGAGATCTATCAGTCTATTGCATGCTTTTATGTCTCTGGACCTATTTTGTTCAACAGTTTATATTGTTCATTAGATTCCATGTATAAATGAGATCATTTGATACTTGTCTTTCTCTGAATGGCTATTATTGCAAATAGCCACACGAGTGGCTTTGCCACTTACTAGTTGCACAGCTTTGGGTAAGTTACTTAGTCTCTCCCTTATAGGGTGAAATGATTTAATTCATAGAAATCATACAATGTCTGGCATATAATAAGCATTTGAGCTGGGACCGGTTTGGCTTAGTGGATAGAGCGTTAGCCTGTGGACTGAAGGGTCCTGGGTTCGATTCCGGTCAAGGGCATGTACCTTGGTTGCGGGCACATCCCCAGTAGTGGGTGTGCAGGAGGCAGCTGATCCATGATTCTCTCTCATCGATGTTTTTGACTCTCTATCCCTCTCTTCCTCTCTGTTAAAAATCAATAAAATATTAAAAAAGCATTTGATAAATTTTAGCTATTATTTTTAATATCATTAGATTCTACAATCATTGATGGTGATAGATAGGAAAATCATAAATTCACTCAATTTGTTTCTACTACATGATGTCATATAACTTAGACAAATGAATATTTCACCACATATTCAATTTTCTGGCAGACTTAATTTGTTCATTTAGTGTTCAGTAGGTGAGTAGATTTTTTCAGTAGACTTTTTGTCTTTTAATAACAAAGCTTCTAGTTATTAAAGAAAGGAACATCCATAATGATGATTTGTGAGTTAGTTGGCGAAATGGTTGATTGGCTGACTTAATAGAAGTACTAATGACATATTCAACTCCAATAGAAAGTAGTGTTTCCCATTTATATGTGAATCAAAATTTTGGTTAACATTCCTATTTCAAAGATGTATCTTTTTAGTCAACTTTTAAAATATATGATCCATATATTCTTCAACTGGAAATATCTTTAATGTAGCAATCCTTAATTTTTTATTATAGATCCCTAATATTAAAATATTTTAAATGGACCTACAATATATATTAGTTTATTTATAATATATATGTTAGTATTCTAATAGATTATGTATATAACAAAATATAAAGAAAAATAAAAATTTAAACTAAGAAGAACCTAATATTTAAAAAATAAATTGTAAATATAAAAAATATTTTGCTGGCTAGCAATTTGTTATTTGAGATGATCAGTATATTAAATGGACAAAATTTATTCTTTCAGTATTCCCAGTATTATCTCTAATTAACAATAATCAGTACTGTATAGCATTAGAAATTATGAATAACCAAGGGGAAAATAAAGTTTCTAGAATAGACTTTCATTTTCTTCCTTGTACTGGAACCCTAGTAAAAACCTTACAAAACTTTGTTCAAGATCTGGACAATAGTAGTCAGCAATAATTTTAAAAACATGGCATTAGGCAGGAAATTTTGGATTTTTGCATATGTATTTTGATTATATGCTTGGTTCTGATTATATTAATAATATTAAGTAGTACATATAATATACAGTTACTGATATTGTTCAGAAGTAAACCATTTGACTGATATTTATGCTTTTTTCAAGGTCAATTGTGTTTGTTTTCTGAGAAGCTGTAAACAGGTTTAACATTTATGGCAGTTTTAAAAATATTTTTTTCTTCTGGAATAAGACCCAAGCAACATAAAGTCACAGAAGATAAATTCTTTTTACTCTATGTCTTACAATAATACTTGGCTTGATACTTCTTCCAATATTATTTTTAAAGGGGGAAAAACTTTGCTGGAAAACCCCAAGATTCAAGGAATTTGGAAAATATCACTATAGCTGTTGAGCTCACACCTATCAACAATAGAAAAAATAACCCATGAGCTAATTTTGAGGCTTTATTTTTTGCCTAGAGCTCAAGTAATAAACTCTTGAACACTTTTTTATTTTTACTTCATGCAGGAAGTATTTCACAACGTATGTCCAGGTGATTTTTGATAGTACATTTATTAAAGTTGGGGACAGTGAAACAGGGGTAGAAGAAGCAACAGGAGAGAACCTAAGTAGGGCTGGCTGAAATGCAATGGGAAAGAAGCAAACCTAGAAGCAGCTGCAGTAAACTCACTGGGAAGTCAGAGAAAAGGGGTTCAGGGTGTTAGCCTGGGATGAGCTGCTGCTGCCCATTGCTCCCCTGGTTGCAAGTCTTGTGGGGACCCTTAGAGTTTAGGAGAAAGAAAATTTACTCAAAAAGATTTGAGCACTAGCTGGTTTGGCTCAGTAGATAGAGCATCCGCCTGTGAACTGAAAGGTCCCTGGTTCAACTCCAGTCAAGGGCACATGCCTGGGTTGTGGGCTCAATCCCCAGTGGGGGACTTGAATAACTAAATACAGGCAGCCAGCCAGGCTGGGAGCGGCCAGGCCCGGGGGAGCAGCCGGGTCGGGTGCAGTCAGGCCTGGAGCAGCGGCCGCCAGGCTGGGAGCGGCCAGGCCCAGGGGAGCAGCCGGGTCGGGTGTGGCCAGGTGTGGAGCAGCAGCCGCCAGGCTGGGAGCGGCCAGGCCCGGAGCAGCCGGGTCGGGTGCGGCCAGGCCCGAAGCAACGGCTGCCAGGCTGGGAGCGGCCAGGCCCGCAGCAGCCGCAGCCAAGTCCAGAGCAACTAGGTTGGGAGCGGCAGTGACCAGACCCGGAGCAGCTGGTTGTGGAATGAACCAGAGCAACAGAGGCCAGGCCCGGAGCAGCCAGGCCCGGAACAGCTCGCTCCTCGCCTGCCCCACGGCTGCCTCTCAGACATGGCTAGAAACTTTCGCGGGAACTTGAGGGTCTGCTGAATCAAGTGATGAAGGCTTATATCTGGATGTGTTGAGTTAGTATAGGGCTGGGGTATTGATCTGTGAGTGCCTTGGGTGGGGCCTGGATGAGGCTAGTTGACCTATTGGGAAATGTCTTTTGTGTGAAGTGTATCATTGGGCATGTGGAGGTATTATTGATATGAGAAAATGCTAAGTAACTGATTTACTATCTGAAAAGGGATTTACTATCGGGGAAAGGGAGGGAAGAAGAGACTGAACATAAACTGTGCACCTATGGATGAGGACAATGGGGGATGGGGAGGGGGCGGAGGGTGGGGTGGGAACCTGGTGGAGGGGGGAAGAAATGAGGAACCTTTGTAATAATATGAACAATAAAGATTGATTTAAAAATAAATAAATAAATAAATAAATAAATAAATAAATAAATAAATAAATAAATACAGGCAGCCAATCCATGATTCTCTCTCATCATGGATGTTTCTATCACTCTCTCCCTCTTTCTTTCTCTCTGAAATCAATACAAATATATATATATATATTTTTAAAATATATTTTATTGATTTTATACAGAGAGGAAGAGAGAGGGATAGAGAATTAGGAACATTGATGAGAGAGAATCATCGTTCAGCTGCCTCTTGCACACCCTCTACTAGGGATGTGCCCTCAGCCAAGGTACATGCCCTTGACAGGAATCAAACCCGGGACCCTTCAGTCCCCAAGCCAATGCTCTATCCACTGAGCCAAACCGGTCTCGGCATAAATATATTTTTATTAAAAGGAGATTTGAGTAGGTGTGGCCCAAGGAGGGCATGGCAACTCCTGTTTATTTTGGAGCCCACAAAAGCTATGTCTCCAAACAGCTACACTTAAGGGATATCCTCCCCTAATCTCAACCCCTTTAGGGTTTTGCTGTATCTACTCTCTTCTAAATAATAACAGGATTACATGTTTAACTTAATAAAATATTATAGATCTTAGAATTGTTGTTGAATCACAGGGGGAAAAGGGAATTAGAAATGAAAATTTTGTAGGGAACTATTTTCTCCACTTTCCATACAAGGAAATCAGGAAATAATGGTGAAAGAGGATGTCTAACGACACCTTTAACTGCTTCAAAAAACATCCAACTTCCAGTTCTTCCTACCCAAACAAAAGACAAATTGGGATTTTCTCAAATGTGACTTTACACACTTCACGAAGTTTCTAAATTGGAGGTGTGGTTAGAGTTCAGCTTAGTGTTAAGGTTAATGTTCTGTTATTGATATCACATTATAAGAAGCTGCTCTTTTTATTTCTTCATTGACAGATTTGAACTTAAAAGTAAAAAGAAGACATAAACATCCTACTTACTTCTTCCTTTTTGTTCAGATCTTTCATTTTCAAATTTATATAGCAACAGAAACTGTATTTCAAATTATTTTTCTTAGACTACAAGTGATCAGAAGAATACCTTTTTTGTGACTTTAGTCACTGATAATGTCCTCACTTTGTTTCTCTGGATTACACCTCTAATAAATGTTAGCAGATAAGCTTTTTTAAAAATACAGACAGTTTTGGCTTTAAACTTTAGTGTGGATCTGTAAATAACCATTAAATCTGAATAATCAATACAAAAAATCACAATTATTTTGTGACTTTAAAATTTTTGTCAAAGCATTAAAAAGTTTCTTATTGACAGTATAAATATATGGGAAAATTAAAAATATAGTAAAACTGATATATATTTAGTACACTGTGATTTAAAATAGGAACATTGAGAATTATAGTGTGTTGTTTTTTTTTTGTAAAAACT